CCACTCGTTATTTTCCTAACACACTCTATATGTATTCCCCATCTTCCGCTAGAATTTGCTTCGACATTCCAATCTTCATTTCGCTCTTTTATCCAAATGGGTACCCAAAAGACAGCAACGAAAACCGGCGCACGAAAGTGCATGGTTAATGGTTGTAAAAACTGAAACTGAAACGTGTCAATCACAATGGGGTTTGCGCCAGTATGATATAGATACACACATCAATCGGAAACAGAGCTGGACTGAAATCACTGATGATCAAATGAATCGAGAGAGAAAAAAGTGGCAACATTACGAGTATAACAGAAATAATGATTACACTAACTTTGCGTGTGTCTAAGCCATCATCTTCGTAGTGCTTGAATGGACCCATTTGAACCTCCCGAATCAGCTCCTTTCGTACAACAGTCTCCGCGTACAAAAGCTGAATCAAACTAGCCTGGCCGTTGCGATTACCTACAACTTGTCGAGTAAGCAAAGGTCGAACGAGGGCCGGACGATGATGTGCAGCGGTGTTCAATGCGATTAGCGCCGCTCGACGAACCAACATATCCGGATCGGCTAACCGGCTGAGGAAATCCAACAGGACAGAGGATGGTTGATCCTGTCGAAGAATCGAATCAATCTCCTGCAAAGCGGATGGGGACTGGGTAGTCATGTCAGTCGCTGTTTTGCCTCCAGTGACGACTTGGGTATTGGGTTGTGAGATGCTCCAGGGAGAAGTGATCAAACCACTGGGCCAGTCTAAGGATTCGTGACGTAACTGGCCAGCCAGTTGAGCTTGTGAGTTATCAATATCAGTTACAACAAGGATAAACTTTACAGCAGTGACCAGCGTGCATCGGATTAGCGGAGAGGTACTTGCTTCAGGTGAATTCAGCTGAAAATCGAAGTGTAAGAGAGAGAGAAGAACATTACCCTGGTTATTCATCAAGCTTTGTTCTAACCTGACCGAGGTATGTGGATTCATCACACAGCGTCAATATACCAATGAAGATCTTGGAGAAACGTTAAAATATTTTATCATTCAATTTCAAACTGAGATATGAAAGACGGTTAATTCCACACACTCACCACTTAGTCTAAACAGGACTGACTTATTGTCAGTTGCTCCGAGCGAGCACTAAACAATACAACGCAACAACGACTGAGCGGTGGTGACCCGGTGAAAACGTCACCAAACTATCATAATGGATGTATGTTCGAATCTCACCACCACCACCGCCGCCTGACACTTTCCCCATTGCATGTTGTTTAGTGGCCCTTTGGTTAGCCGCTTCCCCTATCCTAAAAGTGGTACCATTATCTATTCAATAAAAGAAGTAAAATTGAAAAAGAAAAGCCACAGCAATCGAAAATTATAAAACACATTATAAGTAGATGCGCTTAGAACAGATGAGTGATCGTAGCAAATGTAGGATGTACCTGTTGTCGTAGACGATCCATCAATTGTCGTGGCGCAACAAAGACTAGACGTCCGAGACATTCCGCCACTATGTTTCGAATGCCTTCAGCTGGCAACCCAGCACTAGCGATCAGCAGTGACCTGTTGCATAGTAAGGGGATAGGACAAGCGTGTACATTATGTCACAGACAACCAAATAGGGTAATGCAGAAGCGGAATAATGATCTATCTTAGGGGCATTATATAGTTCAGGTAAAATGAAAAAATACATGAGGCACATCAACGAAATCAGTCCATCTAATGATCTCTACCAAAGACCAATGCATATTTTATAGGAGGGGGGACTCATATCAGAGTATGTCAATGCCAAAAATGGCAAATGATCCATCTCAACACCGGTACATAGATTCGAGCCCCGCCACCGCCAACCAACTTTGCTGGTAAGCAGCTTAGCTGTTGTCCGGTTAGATACCACGTCTAACTTATCGGGGCCTTATGTGGTTCACCACTCCAAGCACCGGGGCTTAGCTACACGGTCACCTTCACTGAACAGCAGGTCGTCGTGACTATGGGGTTGCTGCGATTACCCGGCATGGAGTTATAAAGGCGTGATCG